GGAAAGACTGAGATACGACACCGATAGCGTTGCTCTCTCCAGGACCGAGGAAATGGACTGAACCTTCAAGGGCATCGATCTCGGGAGCGCTTCGTGATTTTCCAGGACTGGGGTGATCTTCGCCCTTGCAGGTGCAAGCGGGCAATTTCATACCAGGCAAGTAGCTGAGACCGTCGTAAGAACTCTGGTTGGGTGTAATACCAACATCGCACTCATCGTGGTAGCTGTATGGCCAGAGGCCTTCGGTAGAGGCCAAGTAACCGGGACGAGCCAGGTTGCCCATGGTCCAGAAACCAGGCCAGAAACCAGAAACATTACCACGACCGGGTAGTGAGATGGAAGCCTCCAAATGGCCACCCTTGTAACAGAGCTTGTTCCACGACTGGATCATACCAGAACGGTAATCGAGGCCGTGGCTAGGCTCCTTGGTAAACTTCAAGGCGAGATAACCATCTTGAGTGAAGGCTTGGTCGGGATCGTACCACTGCGAAATGTCAGCTCTGGCCACTCAGAGCGGGCGCATCAAAACTTACCTCCAAATCCATAGTAGCACCGTACCAGATGTCAACAGCTTGGAAAAATGGGTCGTCACCATCATAAAAGGTGCGACCGGGGGTGTTGAATTCGTCTGAAAAGACGAGAACTTGCTTCTCGCCATTGTAAGATGTTCGCGTCTTGACCTCGTCGGGGGTGTCCGGATCGATGAGACCTCTCCGGATGTTGGTCAGTAGCGGCTCGGTTTGCTTGCCTTCTATACAAAGAGGGTTATCAGTGCAAGGGCCTCTTTCGGGCTTCGTGATGTCCTCGACGAAGGTGCTGGTATTTGTTAGTGCGATAGCAAACAATGGAGGCACGCAAAGACGTACAGAATTGGATAACCGATGAACAGCATGAGCAGACCAAGCGCGAGAATGGCCAAGCCACCAAGATTGACTATACCTCTCCTTGTAAAGATGTCGCAGTCTCTCTTGTCCTTCTCGTTGGGGTCGGGATTGTGCAGGTAGTCGTCCTTCTCCACATCTTCCGGGAATAGCAACAGACCGGCTGACGGGTGAATGTTGAACTTCTCAGACACGGTCTGGGTGTTCAAGTCTTCTTCGCTGCCGGCGCGCGACGGGGCTCGGGAGTCGTCAAAGGGCGAAGCAAATGGTCCTCCTGTCATGTCTGAACTCCAACTTGTCCGCCGCGAAGAGTAGCCAGAGGGCGACTGCATGGGCGATTCGTCGCGGTAGGAGCGCGTGCGCATCTTCTGAGGCGGCAGCAGCATCTCGGCCGACTCTGCAATGGCTGCATCGCTGTAGATATGGGGCGATCGGATGCCAGGACTTTGGCTTGGTGCAGTACCGGGACGAGTTGGCTGGGTCAAGGAGCGGGCTGAATTGGTTCGTGCGGTGCTCGGTCGCACGGCAGGCGGCGGCGAGTTATCGTCGGTGGTAGGCTCGTGAGAGCCCGAGTTGAGGCGGAGATGGGGAGGCCCACTTCCCCTAGGCGATTGCGGCATCATGGTGCGAGGGAGCGTATGCGGTAGGGTTGGCGATGTGTTGCGATATGTTGCGATGTGCTGCGACTTTAGATGGCCGGGCAACAGGAGGCGTGTTCGTCAAGGTCGTTATGCAGGTGAAAACGAGTGTTGTGGTAACCTGCAGGCAAGGGATGAAGCTAGTAGGAAAACCACGAATGCGAAGTACCCTAAACCCTATCGCTATCACTGCTGATTGTCGGGGAGCAGGAAAGAGGGCGGCGTGCAGAACGTGAGAAAAGTTGGGGAGGTCGAGGTTCAAGGGGAGGTGAATCGATGGCTCCTGGCCCAAACGGGGGGCGCCCGGGATAAGGGACTTGGCAGGGCAGGCGGTCTTCAACGGCAGCAGGCGCGAATGAGTGATGACGCACGACTCGACTCGACTCGACTGGCAAGGACGCAGATATTGGAATGCGATGGGCAGCGAGGGTGGGATAATAATGCAACAAAGAGCGAAGCCGCGTGGTGATGTGAGGGAACAACAAGCAGCAGGAATGGCGCAGTGTTCATAGGGTGGCAAGTTGTGTGGATGGTGGGCGAGCTTGGGGCTTTGTTCCTGACCGAGTCGGGCCCACACGGTTCAGGGAGGGCGAAGATCTCGAAGCACTACTAAGGAGCGGCCAATCGTCTCTGGCACGGCGCTTGCATGCGGCGACGAGAGAAAGGCCCGCTTACGCACACCAGCGGGAGCCTTGCTAAATTTACCACGACGTTTCAACACTTTTGCTCAAGCTCTCCTATGGTGGAGCCTGTCAAAAAGTACTCAAATTACCTGTCATGCGTCCTTCAACTGTCCAAATCTCGTGCTGTCGTCTGTCTGTTTGCTGTCACCCGCTCCCTATCGACAACTTCACCCAACATGTCAAGACCCGCTGCCACTGCACCCCGCCACGGTACATGCGATTGTTTCTAGGGAAACCTCCTGCACCCGACCTCTAGCTCTGCATATCCCCTCTCCTCAACATGGCATTCCAAGAAATCATACCGCTTTGCACGCGCAATCGATAGCCTAAGATCATCGCAGCTACCATTACGCGTCGGACCACATATAATAACCCGCAATCCCCAACCTCGCAAGCGCCTGACGGTACCGCACTTGATACATGTACGTGCGCTCGTGCTCAACGGCCGTTGAGAAGTACCTTCACCATCTTATTTCGTGTAGACCATCTCGCCCATCGTATCGTTGCCGAACATAGCGTGGCGATCTAACCCCGTCCTTTTTGATCCTTCCCAAATCCTTCTTCTCGGATCCCCGAGACGTCGATTGGCCTATGCTCTGTTTGCCCATCCCTCGCAGTCGCTACCATCAATCGTCGTCGGCTATGCATCCTACCCCCTCACTTTATCTCGTGCCAACCTAGACTACTGCCGTTGCCCGGCTTCTTGACATTTGCCAGCCGTTCAATGTGGTTGAGACGGATCCATCTCCTTGTCCGGCGCCAAGCGCTACCTAGGGTACACCCGAAATGAAGCTCGGAGGCGCAGCAACACAGCGCTGTTCTGGAACCTTGCATCGTCCGGCCGAGGCATAGCCGGATTGGGCGGACTATGAGCTTCAGCAGCCAATCAACATGTCTGTCGACACGGCATTGCAAGGCTGACATCTTGACGGATACGAGGCTGGCGGCCAACGAGCTGAGTTTAATAGATCAACCAAGTGTACTCGCTATCTTGCTGAAGGTTCTTGCTACTGACGGTTGGAATTGCGCTGCGCGACTCGCGCTTGTTGCGTGGATTCACCAATGCCTCGTGCTTCGAGCACAGGCATCATGCCGTCATGCATGTTTTCTTATCCAAACATGTCCAGTAATTCAAGGAGGAGGTTTGGAGAAAAGAAGTCGCATCGCACTGAAGCCCAAAGCATTGACCATCGTACATTGTAGAGATGCAGCTACACAGATCAACAGTCTTGTACCATACACATGACTCAAATTGTGGTTGTTATCCAACGTCCGCGAGTATTGTGCCAAACCGAGAGGGCTGATCGAATCAATACCCGGAACGTTGAACACGCAGATCTACGATGACCGAAAAGCTTGAACCAGAACTGAATTTCTGACGTCGCATCATAGCCTGCACGCTCCACCATCTGTCAGCAGTCCCTCGTCGACTATCCACCATATCCCAGCATCCCTCATGTTTCAAACGGCGTTATTCGCGCCATGGTCACCCACGCACATGACCTCAACTCGTTCAATGTAGATCGGCATGTGTACAATCCGTCTTGCGCATCATAGTTCATCTCGTATTCCTGTGTGCAATGCAAGCTTACGACTCCACAGCAAGAGCTTTGAGGCCCACGATCCTGCCTTTCTTGTCATCGACTGCCACAACGTAGTACTCTGCCCTTGTGCCCTCGAGCTCCACCCTGAAGACCTTTACGGTGCCGTTCCCGGCTTCCTTCACCGCCTCCATGACCTTTTTGTATTGGCTTTCGAAGCCAGTGTTCTGAACCTGTTCTACGTTGGAGTTTCCGATGAGTGACTTCAGGTCCTCTGAGTCATTGTTAGCTTGGTCGTGCTGCTTGCAAGGCCGTGCAGGCGGAGAGAGGATTCCTACCAGCTGATACGTTGTCACCCTTGAATTCTAGCGCAACAGGTTCAAACGGTTCATCCGAATCGCTAACGTAGTACTCTTCTACCTGTTCTAGTATCTTCGGCACGGCAGTGTTTACGCTCTTGGTACCATAGCTCTTCTTCTGCGACGCGTCCTTGGTCTCCGCCGAGCCGGTGTCTTGATTTGCTTTGTCGAGAAAAGCGGCGTAGTCTGCGTCGGAAGACATGTTGTGAAGGGTGGATCGCCGATCAACCGACTTGGAACTAACACGTGTGGAGGGGAAGGGACGTGGGACGAAGGCGATGGAGTAGAGCGTACGACGCGTGGGTTGGCTGTTTTGGACACAGGCGCAGAACGATGAGAAGGTTCTACGGTGGATGAGCCGCTGGATGGTGTGTAATACTGTAGGAATATTTGTCTTGTCCGCGTAGTTCTTTGTGTGTACTGGATATCGAGGGGGACGTCGAAGCAGCCTGTCCATGGTTTCGCGATTCCACGCGGTGCGATGACGCAACGGCTAACTGCGGGCATTTCCACGAGCAGTTGCGCGACCCCACCATGTACACACCAGGGCCTAACTCTCTATGAACAACGACATCACAAGCCCTATAGACCAACAGTCGTAACGATTCGAATCGCATGCGCAGCAAGTAAAACGCAAATTCAAGCAAGAAAGGCATTTTCATTCTCGTAGTTGATTAAGCAATACACACAACAACCCGCAAAAGGGCGAAACCAATGTAAGGTGCGCAGGGTATCATCGCCATGCGGAAGGACGTTACCACGTCTCTCCGATATTTTGCCCTCCAACTAGACATCCTCAACTCCCCAAATTCCAGGTAACTAATGTTTAAAAACAAGAAAAGCATTGTTGAACAAAGCGGCCTTACATACAACGCCTAAAGTCACATTCTCTGGTTTCCTAACCAGACTTTTGCTCAGCTGGAGTGGCTGCGTGAGCAGGAACGCCGTTCGTAGGCGCGTTGCGAGGGCTGCTGCGCTCAGACTTTGGCGCGCTAGGCTTCACGTCATCACCCTCATCATCGTAGTTCTCATCGACGTCCATGTGTCGAGCAGCCGGCTCGTGATGTTCCGGTCGCTCCTGTTTTGGTGTTTCCGACATGCGAGACAACGGTCGCGCAGCTGCCATGGGTGGAAGCGAAGGCGGGTGGTGAGCCGCCTCAGATGGATGGTATCCATCGTTGAAGCCACGAGGATCAGGCCCCTCTCGAGGGCTCTGACGTGGCACTTGAGGAGATGACATGCGGTGTGGGGGAGTTGGACGACGGCTGTGAGGCTCTTCCATCTTCTGACGCTTTTCTTCGTTCGAAGGAGGCTTTGCGCTCATGTGATCAGATTCAGCCTCCCATTCGCGGTGTCGTTTGACTGGTGGGGCGGTCGGCGGCCTGTCGTCACGTTCACGGGCTGCTTGCTCAGCAGCAGTTTGGGCAGAAGCTGGCGGAGGAGCTCCGCTAGCAATACCACCGGTGGCCGAGGGATCAGCATGGTGTTGATATGGCCCTTGGTAGCCGTTCCGTGGAGATCCCGCTCGGTTCTCGACGATAGGACGCACTTCCGGTGGGGGACTTGTAGGGCGGACACCATAGGGAGGCACGGCACTCTGGCTAGGGGCTTGAGTTGGTGGGCCACCGAGACCGGTAGGTGGTGGAGGAGGTGGTGGAGGAACACTACCAGCGTGAGGGCCGTAGTTTGGATTGGAAATACGGTTAGGCTGGGGTGGCTGCTGTTGGTGCAGTGGTGGCTGAGGTTGTGCATGAACAGCCTGAGGCGTAAGTTGCGGAGGCTGAGGATGGTAAGGGCTAGGGGCAGCATGGTGCGTCTTCGGCGACGGAGACATGCCACGGCGCATTGGCCCTGGTGGACCTGGCGGCGGGGGGCCAGCTGGGCCTTGAGGACCAGGACCGTTTGTAGGAGGGCGAGAAGGCTCTGCGTATGACCTAGGTGCTTCCTGTCTTGGGCTTACAGGCCTTTGAGGAGCATGCTGAGTAGGTGGCCGGATGCCCTCGCGCTGCTCATAGGGGTTCAGCTGCTGCGGCGGAAGGCCGGGATCGCGAATCTGAGCGAGGGGACGATCCCATCCAGGCGCTAAGGCTGGGGGAGCAGGACCTTGCGGAGGTTGTTGAGGCTGAGGAGCGCCCCATTGAGGAGCGGTAGGGCCATGGACAGAAGCAGGCTGGTAGGCTTGAGGGTGCACGTCTTGTGGAATGGGAGCGTTGCCCTGGTTCGGGGCGCCTGCAGATGTCTGTCCGTTCTGCAAAAGCTGTAGGCGAGCCTTGATGTGTACATTTGACGGATCGAGATCGGCCGCACGCTGGTAAGCGTCAAGTGCATCCGCAGTCTGGTTGTTGCAAGACTCGTACTGCGCCATTGTTAGTGAAGAACTTCAACCTTCAGGGACAAGGAGCTACTTACAAGTGTGCCGAGATCGTACCAAACTTCCGAAATGTTAGGGTTGAGGCGGATTGCACGGGAGTATGCGTCCAGCGCGTCGCGGTACTGGTTGATCTGGTAGTACAGTACACCAATGCTGCACCAGAAGGTTGGGTTCCTGCCATCACGGTACACCGCTTGCTGATAGGCCTCGTAAGCTTTGGGGTACTTCTGCTGTGACATGTAGCAACGTCCAAGCAGGTACCAACTTTGCGCATCCGTTTGGTCTAGAGCGATGATTAGATACACGCGCATAACCACATGGGGATACAGTACTTACCGGAAGCAACAGACTTCTCCAGGTACTCAATGGCCTGCTCCTGGCTGGCGTAATTTGTGCTCTGCTGGTGGTGTAGCCATCCCAGCTGCTGTAGGACCTTGGCGTGGTTGGCATCACGCTCGAGGACCCGGCGATAGGCGCCCTTGGCCGCTTCGAACTAGAAATCATGTCAGTGGTGAAAGCTTACAAGAGTGGGTGGCACAAACCTCTTTCTGTTGTTCGTACACATGTCCAATCTGGAACCAGATGTCCTCCTCGGTCAGTGGGCGAGGAGGGTTGGTGACAATGTACTTGAAGCAGTCCAGACTTTGGTTGAACTTCTGCTGCTGCTTGTAGATTATGCCAAGGCGGAAGTAAATCTCGTTTGCCTTTTCGAATGTGGGTTCCATGCGCATGACCTGTGAGAAGGCCTCCTCGGCGTGCTCCAGGGAGCCATAGCGATCGTAGAGTATTCCGATGCCATACCAAAGCTTAGGCTCCTTTGGGTCAGACAGATGGTATAGAGCTTGCTGGTAGGCAGAGTATGCTTGCTGCAAGTCGTCCATCATCAGATAGCAGTGGCCTGGTCATGTTAGCGACGTGATGCGAGTGATGCGCGCAAAGTCCTTACCGAGGCTACCCCAAACGTCACCATTGGCCTGGTCGACCTTGAGAATAGTGCGCAGGTATTCGACAGCTGCTGGGAAGGCATCTTTGGTGCGCAAAATACACGCGATACCTTGCATAGCTGGCACAGACCACTGGTTGAATTTCAAGGCCTGTTCGTAGCATTGCATGGCGCCGTCGTAGTCTTGCATTTGCTCAGAGAGAGAACCTGCTGGGTGTTAGTTTGAGCCCACGCTGCATGCAATGGATACCAACTTACCCATCTGAGTCCAGACAGCCTCGGTCAATTGTCCCAAGTACTGCGATTGTGTCTTGGGCTGGTTGACGTGCGGCGGGTGTCCATTTACCTGCGCGTGCGCCGGATGCTGCCCAAGATGATGCGGGGGCATGCCCGTGGTGGGCGAAGGTTGCTGGTGTTGTGCCATGAAGGCTGCTTGCGACTGATCAGGCTACAATGCGACTGGTGCGCTACGGAAGCCGCGACAGTGATGGAATGGTTTGGTGGTGGGGAAGACAAGACCAGAGCAACTTGATGGGTCGCCGTGTTGTCTATCTAAGTGAGTCAGGAGATGGAGTTTGATGGTTGTGGTGGAGGATGGATACGTACAGTCGGGCGTGGGAGCGCGTCTTGCAGGCGTACTGACGGGTGCGAGTCGAGGCGTGGAGAGGTTGGCGCGGAGAACGACAACAGCGCGCAGAGGAACACGGATGGTGTGGACCCCGACTTGGTTCTACAGTGTCGTGTGAGAGCAACAATGTTGTGGTCTTTGCCACGGGGTGGGTTGAGAAGGAAAGACTGATGTGAGATGCAGCCTCGTGGAAGAGAAAACAGATGAGGAAGCCGCAGACCAACAGATGGAAGGGGCGCTCCAACGTCCCTTCCATCAGACGTGGGTAAGGGGACCAGATGTTGCAGGGATACACTTCTTAGCGTCCACGCTAAGAAAGACCCACTTCTGTGGGCATCTTGCCGTAAATTACGTGCCTAGCATCGCAAAGCGCTGGCTATCCGCCGCGACCCATGCTTCCACCGGCGCTCTCCTGTGCCACAGCAACTTGGTACTAGGTAACAGACGAACCATCTTTATTGATTACTTTGCACCATTTGGCACCATTGCCAACTCTGGCGGAAAAGGTGCTATGTTTCAGATTGTTCCGTGCGGATCTGGTACCGTTCGTCCCAGGTTCACCGAACAGCGGAGCCGATGGACTGACACGCTACCGCTATTACGCTATATGCGCCGCATCTAGAGGACAGATCAATCTTGTTTCGCCGATTTTCTACTGCCATAGTTATACTGCCAACGCAGAACGCCACAGCTTCTGCCTGAACAAGTTAAATGGGGTCGCCGCCGTTGAGCTATCCATGGATGGTTCGAGCATCAACTAGCTTCAACTACCACGATGCACCATAATCCACACAAACCTTGCTTCAGTGTCGCTACACACAAGGCGACCATCACGTCGCGACACCCAAAGTCGATCGTAGATATTTTGTTTTCCCGAGACTGGGTCCTCGCGCAGCGGGGCTTTATGGGAGGCGTCGCCAGATTGCCATGCCAGCCACTCAGACCCCAATCGTCGCCCTACGACACTCAGCCTGCGAAGCCCACTAGGCAAAACGGCATGGTTTTCATTTCGGAAATCGCAGGAATGGGCTGATATAGGGCCTGCAAAAGGGGGCACGAGCGACGACAATGGTGCTGACACAGCTGGTGCGCACCCACAGACAGTGCCGTCCAAAGGCCGGGGGCGGGCGATCAGCCAGCCCTCCACATGAGAACAGAGAAGCCTCCGTCGTCTGCTTAGCGGCTCTCGGCATGCATCGTAATGTGACGCAGTTGTCCTCCGCTCCCGCGTCCTCGGCAAAAAGGCTCGTGTCACCCAATCCACCCCCTGCCGCAGCCTGAATCTGACAAGAGTCGATCATTAGTTGGCGCATGAGCATGCAACCGGGATTGCGTCGCCTCGGTGCAGGACCAAGCCGCTGGCATCTGCCGCCCTTCAGTCGAGCCATGATTGCGTCCAAATTCCTTGGCTTGCTGCAGCCCACCGTACCCGTAGCACATCTGTCGATACCGTTTCCGTCGTTGGTGTCCACGGAGCAGCGTGACCGAGAAAAGGATATCGGGCCGCCGCTAACGAAAGCCCCTCTCTTAGCATCTGGGCTCAAGAACCGCACCCACGTGAAACTCCAAGCTTGTGGATCCAGGGCTGGCCTGCGCGCGTCATCACAGCCTTGCCGGTAAGCGAGGCTGTTTTTAAAGGGACTGCTGTCTTACCAATGCGGAAGGTCCATTCATCTGCTTCACCCAAATCTATTGTGCTGCGACTCCCCAGCTGCCGCCACTATCTCCAATGCTCTCTATACATAAGATGCTTGGTTGCGGCGGATCTGTGCGGTAACGGCGAGGCGCACGCGAAACGCACCAGCAGCATGTTTCGTCGCAGTGCGGTCTGTCAGGTCGAGGCTCAGATCTGTCTCGCGCCCGTCCACCCGCGTCGTGACCCGAGAACCCGAGTATGGTTGGTCGTGGATATATAGACTTTCACTTCTGCCATCAGCGACATGACTTCTGTACGCACTACTACTATCGTCTTTTCGAAACGTGTTATGTGGGACGATGAAGGATGAGCCTCGTCTTGGCACCTCAGCTGGCGGCTGCGGCCCGGGGATTTTGCTGAGTCCATCATCTAGTTGCCTGGCGAGCGGTACCCGGTAATTGCTTCTGACTTCTCTACATCGCTAGCCCTTGATGAACTGCTTCGCAAGCAAACATGTCCATAACACAGGGAAGCATCTATCAATAAACTGCCTCCCCGCATTGTCGAGCAAAGCTACGTATTTAGCCAATACACCTCGCCCATGCCAGCGGTAATCCATGGTAGCCCCCTACCTACTATCGCCCCTCACCTAATGTGAGATTCATCCGAGTGTTGCACCAAGCTTGATGCTTCCTCTCACCTGCATGCTGCGCGCTGCGCGCTGTCACGTACTATTATACGACTGGCAAGCTCTCGCTCCCCGGAGTGTACAGCAGCTGGAACATGGCTCTATCCGCGAATTGCTACGATCTTCCCCTCTACGATGCTTTCTGGGTGACTCTGCATGTAGCTAATGCAGCTGATCGACGGACCCCGGGCGACATAGACGAGTGGTTGGTGACCGCCGTTGGCTGACAGGTTGTGCACAATCGCTGTTCTGTCGACATATTGCTAGTCGCTGCTGGTGGAGGAAGGTCAAGCATTTTTCCGATACCCACTTATCGCCCCCACTTGATCCCTCGATTGTCAAAGCAACAGCGTTGCATGCCCATAGCAAGCTCAAAGGAATGGAAAGGCGCATGATGCGTTGTGCCACCTTTGCATCATTGTCAGGCCTCCAGATCCCGCCGTTCACTTCGTAGGAGCCTCCAACGGTCGAGACTCATCATACCGTCAGGATCTCAGCAATGTGTTTGGCTGGAAACCTTGGTTCGTGTACGCCATGAGCTTGTCATGAAGATGTTCGCCTCAGGGTTGTGTGGGACCGAGCGGCCTCTCGGTGCAACCCTGGGAAAGGTGGGACCACATCCACCCTCCTTCCGGGATGACAATCCCGAGGTTGAAACGGGCTGCATGAGCAATCATGCGGGCTGCAGGCCGTCTTTATCAAGAAAAGCAAAGATGTAAGCAAGGGCACGGTGGCTGATGCGGCGCTTTTCGCTACGGCTATCGTCGCTCTGTTGCCGAACCGATGCCGCAGGGAGAGGCAAGTGTTGTTTACATGCAAAGCTGCACGCTGCGAGTGCCTTTGACTCCAGGCTCTATTTTCGTGTTGCACGGATATACCGCACGTTTTATTAAGTCACAATCCAAAATTCGGAGGGTAGATCACCGTCGCAATTCCATGAGTCAAGCGCCATCTGCCAGGGTCTATCAATCAGTCGAAAGGAATTCCTTTTCTCTCTCAGTACAATATGGCGACGCTCAACAACCATGGTTCAGGCACACGTCTTTCACCGCATCGGAGCGCATCACAACCTCGCAATGTGGCAAGGACAGCTTCGAAGCCATGTCTGTTTAAAGTTGCATGAACCGGAAACAAACAACGGAGAATGCCGCATTCTGGATTGACCAACACTAATGCTATGGATGTGTCTGCGCTTATACACGACAACCAGTAATATCCAAATCAGATATGATTTCCAGAAGCTTAACCGCATGATGAGGTGGGCGCAAATCAGCTTTGGGACCCTGGAAGGTAGCTGTATCGCGTCTTCATCACCTTGGTGTGTCACTACATGAACACACAGAAAAGAACGCGCCTTTCGCGACTACACCGAGCACGATTCTCTCACTCTATAATACATCATATGTGTTCTTTCCTTCTCTTACTTGTGTTCTTGCGCTACTTCTCCATCATACAACCTCAACACGAGGTGGCGCGTCATGGTTGCGATTGTGTCTTCCGTCTCTGTACTCCATACCACCGTGCGCCATCTCATCTCACCAAACGCCAGCGCGGTAGATTCCACTATCAATAATCGAAATACATCATGGCGTAATGAACAATCGTCTCTCTCTCTCGCCTCTTACCTTTCTTCACTGCTCTTAGCGGCTGCACTTGCGCCGTACTTCTCCATTCCGTCGGATCCACACTGTCACGCTTGCGAGGTGGCAAGAACATACGAAATAATGTGCAAGCAATGGATAGACTTCTCGCTTATCCCTACTGGGTTCCAATCACAATATGGGAGAAGCTCCATATGGACCAGTTCAAAGAGTCAAGAGCCTACAAAATGATCAAAGCGGCATACGACGCTAGAACAGCATACACAACGACAAGCATTACAAATCCGGCATATTAACTATTAGCGTCGAAGCCAGTCCCGGCACAAGCTCACCAGGCTTCGACTTCACTTTCAACTTTAGCACTATCGTTGGTCCTGAAAATCTCAACATGAAGATCACTTCTGTGTCATTCCGCACTATTATTTTGGACTTCACTAGAATCTGCTCGACTGCGCGAGAAGCCGAGGTACTGAACCTGGCGTTAGCGAGGGTTAACATTGCTCTGCATGGCAAGCTTGAGATGGTTGTCAAACGTCTGAATATTGAAGGGTACTCCACGACAGCGGATGGTGGCACGACTAGCGCTAGCATGAGTACGAGAGAGAGGAAGATAAAGCTCTGAGTTTCTAGTGAGCAGAGATTGCGGGAACATGGGCTTTAGTGTCGGCAGTATTAGTATTGACAAAGCATGTTTCCCGTAATAGGTACATGTACATCAAGCGCCAGCAATGGTATCTAATCTAGCTCTACTGAACTGAAAGGCATCGCGCAGGCTCGAATGGAGACATTGTAGCGTTATAAGCTACAGAAAACGTACGGTCTCGGATCACCTTCACGTTCATGCGTTTGTGTGACAACTGATTATAATTGAAATAGTAAACTAAGGTAACTCTTTAACCACAATGAGCATTTGATAAATGAAAGCCATTACTACTGATTCGATTGGTATTTCCTCACACTATCCACGAAACTGCTACAGGTAAGCAACAGTTCCAATGCAGTATTACCATACACTGGCGCTCTTACACTAGCCTCCTATGGCTGCTCTAGTGCCACTGCGAAAGCTGGAAGCAGGTGTCACATCGTACTTGACAGATTGTTCTTCAAGAAGAAACCAACTCATATATGTGGTAGGCAAGATGATATATCATCCTAGAGATCTACTTGACAGCTGTAGATGTACTATATCTGGCTTTCGCTATGGCACTAGAGGGATGTCCTAGGATTCGGTCCGAGAGCTGCAACACCATAGGATTGCACTTGTATGTACTAAGAACTTCAAGACTATGATCATACATCCTGCCTTTGTATCATGTCCTGTTTAGGTCATTGCTTTCAACCTTGCCATTGATCCTATCTTATTTCCTACCTTTCAGCCACCTCGCAGTACAAACACCAAGTTACCTAGTGCTGACTGTACCAAGCCGCAAGGACAATAATCAATTCTCCACATCCCGAGGTTAACATTGGGGAAATAGTACCGAGCGCAACAGGCTGCCGGTTACTTCCGCAAGCCGCCCGTTTCATGACAGGTGTAAGCCCTAACACGCGGCATTTGGCACCAAGATGTATTCATCTGCATTCCGTTCCGAGATTTGTAACGAAATGTCAGTGCTTGAAAGGCTTTGCTTGTCTTGGCTTCCCTTGGAAGGCACATCACAGCGACGGATGGAATTGACCCGCACCCAAGACTAATCCAAGCCGTATACGTACGTAGATACTCCAAGCCTTGATTTGCATGCAAGGCAGATTTGGAGACAGTGGCACCAAAGCCTCGACGGCACAATGAACACGTATAGAATGAGATAGGGATACCTTTATATCGATACTATTACACTCTGTACCCATCCACTCCCTTAGAATCCAACTTAGATAACCGCAAACATCCAGGGTATATATGTATTCCGAAACTCCCATGCGCCGTGGAGACAGAGAAAGCTTGCCAGAGAAATGGCAGTCCTGACATGATCGGACCGAGACCCGGGCCGTATCACGCATGCGTCGGAGCTTAATGCACGTGTGTTTGCTCTCGCAGCCTCGCAATCGGTTCCTGTTGGGAAGGTGGGCGTTCACTCCGGCCTTGTTTCGGCGGTAGCTTGTCCCACGCACAAACTCAAGAATGAAGCGTCATCTCCCTCAGCCCTCATCCTCCCAGAAGTTAACCAGCCAAGAAAAGTGGAATGATTCGGCCCTTCCCCACCCATCAATCCTGTTCTTTTCCCATATCCCATCCCCACATCTTTCCACAACCCTGCCGTTATTTCAACCGCGGCTCTTTGTCTTTGTCTTGTTAACCTCCACAAAAAGTCTCCGCTTTTATTTGTCGTCCAACGTTTATCGATACATGGTGCGGCTTACTTGCTGACTTCTTGTGCTCCCGTTCGTTTCGTTACGAGCCGATTGCAATGGGATCGAGTTACTCTACTTGCTGACTTTCTTCCACATGCAGCCTGTACACATGCCTTGACTTCTGTTCATGACTTTGTGCTCTCTTTGTGTTTCTGGGCAGGGGTGTCCGAGTCGTAGCTTTTCTGCTTCTTCGCATATGCGTAGTATTGGGCCGTTGTTGGGTTGTGGTTGGGGTATCCAATGGTTGCACACGTGTATGGTGTAGACGATGTAGCACATGTTCAGGGCAGTGAGGTTGCGGTCGTATTGAGCGTAAAAGAGTCGCTGAGTGAGCGGTGCGAAGAGCGGGACGACGCGAATCGGTGCAATATACTTTTTGCTCAGGTCGGTTGAGCTAGATCTCTAGGCTCGGTCGATGTGAGGTTTCGGATTGTATTGTGATGCTCTTTGGACCAGCGATGAGCTCTTCTTG